GAGGTCCTTGGACTTTCCACAGGGCAGGGAACCATGACTGCTCTTTGGATTGGAGAGGGAGGGGGAGAGGAGTGGGGGGAGGGGGAGAAGAGTGGGGGGAAGGGGGAGGGAAATGGGAGGCTGGGAGGAGGCGGAAACTTTTTTTTTCCCATTCTCAATAAAATAAAAAAAAAAGAAAAAAAATTTAATAAGTGCATATTTACTTATTGGTATTTTCAAAGAATCAACTTTAAGGATTAAAAAAATCTAGTTTTGCTTTTTATTTTTGTCAGCTTACACTTTTATTTTCATGAGTGAACTCCTTCATAATTTGGGATTATTTTTGATGTTCATTTGCCCATCTGTTTATCTCATATAATCTCCCAAGTAAGGACACTTGGGCTCTCATTTTAGTTGGCATTGACCAGTCATCTCGTCCTGCCTCCTGCTTTCATGGTTGAGAAGCTGTATTGTCAACTCAAGCTGATTAGGTGAGAGTCTTAACACTTTACGTGGGTAGATTTTGCAGGGGCTGTTTCTGTACATAATTTCTAGCTTGCTGTATGAATGCTGGAGAGGCTTTAGAACTTGTTAAACTATGACTTAACTGTGGCTACTTTTATAGATGTTTCTGAGTGTTCAAAGAGAATGTGTCTTTTGCCGTTTATCGAAAAGTCTATAAATAACACCTCTTAATTGTGTCATTTAGATGGTCTTTTGCCTATGGCAAGCTATTATTTTTTATAAATAGTATATTCAGCCACTCACCATTATGTAATTCCTTCCTCCTTGTGTCCCATTACTATATGTATTTCCAAAGAATATTGTTAAGCTTACATTGTTTGTAATTATTATATATCATTGGTTGACTAAACCTTTTATCAGCATTGAATCCTTCTCGTTTTGTTTAATGCTTCTTACCTGGAATTTCACTTCTACTGGTGCTGTGACTGCATTGCTGGTGCTCCCCATTTCCCACCTCTTAGTCCTCATTGGGCCATTTATCCTCTCTTTGGGTCATTTCCTTTTACTGTCTATCACAAATGTTCTAGAGTTAGAATTCTTTCTTACAGGGTTTCTCTGTGTAACAGCCTTGCTTGTCCTGGAACTTGCTTTGTAGACCAGGCAGGCCTCCAACTCACAGTAATCTGCCTGCCTCTGCCTCCTGAGTGTTGGAACTAAGAGGTATGTGCCACCATGTCTGGCTAGTGTGAGGCTGGAAAAGATTCCATTTTTATGCTGGGACTTTGTGGGAGTTTGAACTTCACCCCCACCCTGGAGAAAAGTCGGGGGTTGCTAGGCCCCTTTAGGGGAAGTATTAGCTATTGGAAAAACCCAAGCTACAGAAAACTTCTGACAAGATGCTGACCACCTGACTTCCCCTATTGGTAGATAAGTCTCCAGGCAGACCCTATGTTAGTAAAGGGTCAGCAGATGTCTGGAGGACATAACCAGGGGGCTGTGCTATCCCCCTTAGATACTAATAGCCTATCAGGAACTAACAGCTGAGCTTGCCTCACCTTTAGCCAATTGTGATATAGGATAAGGAATTTCGTATTTTGAGACTGTAACCTTGTGACTGCTTTGTGGCTTTTATCTTTATAAACCCCTTATAGTAGTAGATGGGGTCCTTCTCCCTCCATCTGCTGTGTCAGACTGTGAGGCAGAGGACCTGTGCTAGCCTGTACTTAATAAAAAAAAAAAACCCTGCTTTTGCATTTGGAAGTGTGGCTCTGTGGTGGTCTTCTTGGGGGGCCCAGGACTCAGGCACACTAGCACCCACAGTAGAGTATCAATCTTTTAATACTGTGATTGTTCAATCATATTAATTGTACAAATGAATAGGTTTCACCATGAAATTTCTATATATGTGTGCATCATGCCTGATTTTTATAAAAAAAAGAATTTAAAAATTATTTTTTGGGGTATGTGTGTGCTATAGCACATGTGTGGTCAAAGAACAGCTTGGAGGAGTCGGTTTTCCCTTCTTCCCTGTGGGTCCTGGGGGACTGAGCTGAGGTTCTCAGTCTTGCCAGCAAGCACCTTTACCCACTCAGCCATTTTGCTGGTTCTAATCCTTGATTTTTAATGTAAAATTTTAACAAGCTTAATTTTTAATATCCTTGTATTGTCTTTCTTCTTCCCTTTTACTTTATTCTCCTAATTTTTTCTTTATTCAAAGCCACTTTTGCCCTTCCTTCTGCTAAACCACTGACGTTTCGCTTGTCCAGTGTTTCGACCTACTGGTTTGCTTTCAGGCAGTGCTGAGAATTCAACCCAGGGCTTGGGTTTGTCAGGTAAGCACCGCACCAGTGAGCTACACATCCGCTCCCCTCCCTTTGCTTTGAGATGCACTTTCAGTGTCTGTGTATCTAGCTGCTAACTTTCTATATTTAACACATATGTTTACCAGCCCTTTCCTCCCAGACATAGAAAGTCTCATCTACTGAGATGGCCACAAGGTTTTTGTTCATTTTGTTAATGTACTGTATCACACTTCTTGATTTGCATGTGGAGGACCCAATTACACTCCAGGTTTAAATTCCACCTGTACACAATGACTGATGTTTTTATTATATTGTTCAATTCAGTCTGCTAGGATTCTGTTGAGGATTCTTTTGTATTTTTGTTAACTAAGGATATCAGTCTATGGCAGTGGTTCTCAACCTGTAAGCCACAACCCCTTGGGGTTTTTTAAGACCATCAGAAAACACAAATATTTACATTACAATTCATAACACTAGCAAAATTACAGTTTTGAAAGTAATTTTATGATTGGGGGTCACCACAACATGAGGGATTGAATCAAAGGGTCGAGGCATCAGGAACGTTGAAATCACTGGTCTATAGTTTCTTTTTCTTGTAGTATCTTTGTACAGCTAGCCTAAACAAACAAACAAACAAACCAGCTTGGGAGGATTTCCCTTTCTCCAATATTTTTATAGGTTGGGAATCTTTAAGATTTTTTTTAATTGGCATTCTAAGAAGTTAGCATAAACGATCGGTTAAGGATTTGGAGATAAGACAGAGAGAGGGCATTGCCATGTAACCCACACTAGCTTTGAACTCACGGTGCCCCTGCTCCAGCCTTCTGAGTTCTGAGTATACAGACATGAGCCACCAGCCCTGTCAACCCAGTCTGCCCTTGGTAAACCTTTTCAAACTAAAGACTTGCTTCCTTTGGAAATTTCATTTGATCAGCCGTTGTTTCACTCTCTTCAACTCTTTTGCTCTTGTCTGGAACTTCTATTTCTTCCTCTCGTCTCTTTGTCTTAATCTTTATTTCATACCTTATTTTCCTTTGTGCTTTGGCTATGTAGTAAAGGAACCTTAGTAGATATTTAAGCTCATCAATACATGTTTAGATGTATCCATTCTGCTACATGTCTCATCTATTTAAAAATATTTTAGAAAGGAAAAATATTTAACCTCTGTATTTTCTCTTCTTTCTTTGCTCTGTTTAGTAATGGTTGCTGTTGCTGTTTCTTCTAATTTAACAGAAGGGTCTGTCTTTAGTCACCTTAACAATGGGAACTGCATTTAATTTAAAATCTTTAGGATCTGGTCCCTCCTTCCTCCTCGCTGTGTGCTCATTTATTTGTGACTTGAGCATGACACAGACACCTCTCTTTCCTGATGTTGGCTTTCTCAAATATTTTGGGATTACTGTCAGGTGCTCTTTGTGACTGTGACCCCAGCTCTCTGGATAAAGTCCTTATGTGAGTTCTCTGGGGACCAAAGACAAGGCATGCTGAGGGGCCTAGGGGATAGCTTCTCTCTGTGGGCAGGTTCCCTGAGAGAGATAAAGCACCCTGCTGGATCTTTCAGATTGCCAAGCCCTGGGGTGACGCTGTCACACCTTAGGAACACAGAAGAGCTTCCCCAGAATGCAAGCCCCAGAGGGATCAGTTCAAGCAGTGGCCAAGATCTCTCCAGTCCCTTGTATCTGTCGACACTCAGGTTGGAGAAGCTCCAGGCTGCTCTCACCCGCTCTCTGGTCTCAAACTGTCTGGAAACCTGCTCTTCTCAGCTCATTCTTTGGTGCACTGAACCCTATCTGCTTTCTTCCACTTAGAAGTTCCTCAACACTCCCGGTTCACCTGTAGCCTCTCTCATTTCCCCTTTTCCATCTTCAGCAGTGTTATGGGTTTCGAAAAGGCATTTTCTGCCATTAAGAACTTTAGAAAAGCGGGAGAGGTCAGTGGCCAGCCTGAGGTCTGTGACCATTTCCTGCATCTGAGTGTGGCATAAGCTTGCCGCTGTGACAGCAGATTTATAACAAGCAGCTTTGTCCTGATGGTATGTGAGGTGGGAGGCAGTGACATCAGGCGGATAGGAAGGAGACCCATCGTTTTGATAAGTGCATTTTGAGCAGTAATAAACTTGGGTGTGGGATCAGGTTCCGTAGATGTTGGAGGGAGGCAATGCCAGCTGACAACCCTCTTCCCCCATGTGCTCTGGAAAAGCATTTGCCTTAGAGACAAGAGAAATCGTCTCATCTACCAGTCTGGGACTAGACAGAGTCTCAGCGTGTGACATCATGCAAAACAGGAAAGTGTGAGGATGGAAGCAGATAAGGGGACCATGGGAGCCAGAAGAACAAGAAGATGGTGGCGTTCTGGGCAGCGTAAGAAAACTACCTTCTCGGCCACACCCGGGGTGGCAGGTTTGCAGGAAGTACGGTGTCTAAAAGGATGCCTTGGTGAATATATTGTCAGAGAAAGGAGATATATTAATTAAGGTCAGTGTGTTGCGGCTTGCCTGTGCCCTAGTCCAGATGCTGAGCCACCATGCTTCTGGTGTTTAACTCTGACCCCCTAATGGCTGGGGTAGGGGACTCCCAGAAAATGAGTGTAGTGCCCTGTGGCTACACATGGAAAGTTGGTGTAAATAACAGTGTGAGGGGAGGAGAGGCCATTCTTTTCCTGAGGCTCTCCGGGAATGGGCTACCATCCTGGAAGTGTGCGTGTGTGCACCTACGTCATCAGAGACCCACCTGAAGAGCAGGAGCACAGCCTGGGGGAACGTCTGGAAGTTGTTGTTCCGATTGATCTCTGTGCTGTCATTCAGGGCGATCTTTCCAAACACCTGAAGAAAGAGGCACTCAGGGACCAGAGAAGGGCAGTGCGCTCATCTCCAGCCACCGTCTAACAGCCTCTCTGGGCCTACCGGGCCAAGCAGCAGACACCTGCTGTCCCCTGAGCCCTGGACTCAGCTCCAGCACTGACAGCTTTAGGAAGGAATGTACCCTCAGCCCACAGGAAAGGTCTCCCACCCAGGGGAAGCTGGGGGCGGTAAATGTATGATGAGATCAGGGTGCTCAGGGTAGGAACCAGGTCTCGCTGCCTTCTTGCCTTCGCTACTCCAGATACCCAAATACACAGCTGATTCTTGGATCCTGCGCGGCTATGGAATGGGCGGTCCAGAGCTTGGACAAGCTTCGTTCATTCCTAACGCCAGAGGTCTGCTTGTGTTCTTCCTGGCCCTCTGAGGCCATGCTTCTCTGAGAAGCCGCCAGTACTCTCTCCCTGTATCTGCTGTCAGGACATCTTTTTTTCCCTTTAAAGTGCAGAGGGTTTTTCCCCTCAGGAACTTTCAGGGATTTTGTGCAGGGAGCTGCTAAGTGAATATCCTGGCTAGCGTACATGCTTGGCTGGGGAGGCACTGCCTTACAGAAAGACTCAGTTGGAGCCTTGAAGGGGTGGGGGGGGGGACTCTGGGTGAGGGAACAGAGAAAGTACAGCAGGCCCCTGGGAAGGAGGCTTCTGAAGAGGGCTGCATGTTTGGTGGGCAGTGCTTTTTCTTCTTTTCTCACTCCAAATCGGGCACATCCAGCGTGAACAAAGCAGAGGACGCTGGTGGGACACACCCACTTTCTGCTGTCTCTGGTGGGAGGCTATTCTCTCCTGAGGGCCAATGCTTAACTTATGAGTGTCTCCCCCCTGCAGAACCCAAGCTAGTACTGTAAGAAGGAGGGACCGCTGTGCTGTCTCTTGCCCATGGCCTACAGCACATAATCGTATTGGGGGAGGTTGGGTGACAGGCAGGGGCAAAAATCAGAAGAGAAGGAGGAATTGGGAAGGAGCTACCGTGCTGGGGGCTGGGAAGAGACCAAGGAGGCGGGGTTTCTCATACCTGCATCCCAATCACTGCATAGATGAAGAACAGCATCACGATCAGAAGGGCCACATAGGGCAGGGCCTAGAAGGAAGCACACAGCGACCATGAGACCCAGGGGTTCAGGCCAGCAGGATCTTTTCCCAGAAAGCATTGCATTCCCAGTTCCACAGCAATCAACTGCTGTTTAGCTTAGAGGAAACTGAGTACCAGGGAGAGAACCTGAGAGGTGGGCTCTGGCTTGCCATATCAGCAGTCTGTCTGTCTGTCGATCTCTCTATCATCCATCTATCTATCTATCTATCTATCTATCTATCTATCTATCTATCTAATCTATTTATATATCTATCAATAATCATCTGTCTCTATTTATCTATCAATCAATATATCTATCAATAATCACCTATTTGTATCTATCAATATATCTATCAATAATCACTATCTACCTATTAATATGTCTATTAATAATCATCTATCCTCTCTCTCTCTCTCTCTCTCTCTCTCTCTCTCTCACCTATGTATTCCTCTGTCTGTTGGGAATGGAGCTGAGGGCCTCTACTACTGAGCCCTGGTCCCAGCCCATAGTTTGGTTTTAAAATACACTTCAGAATAATGGAGGTAGTGCCATATTGTTTACTGAGAACAATCAATGAACACTCCTCCTCAGACTACAGTTATGTATTTGCACAAAGAAGGAAGGGGTGATTAAAATTACCCCAAAAGACCACTGTAGTCACCAGGGAAAAGCAGGAAGGAGGCAGCTTATACCCCGTCTTGATCCAGTTACTTTCGTAGAAATGAGCAGTCAGCCACCATTGCCATGAAAACAGTTAATAAGGAGAAATGTAAAATGCTCCCCTCTCTTCCCAGCTCTACAGCTTGGGACACAATATTTAAGTTCTCTGGACCTGTTTCCTGATCTGAATGAGGAGGAATGTACAACCCTTCTACCTGGCAGAGGTGTGACATTTGAAGGGTGTAAGGCTTGTGAAATGCATGACACAACAGTGCATACACAATCGGGTTCACACATTTTACTCATTCAGTCTATCCCCTAAACAGAGCCATGGCCACTTGGGAGGAGGCATCATGGGTCTCACCGCCTTTTGCGGGATCACGGAAACCTGGCTTTCCGGCTTAGGAACGCTGCTGCCTATGCACCACTAGATGGCACCAAGAGATCACACGATTTTTTCTTTTTCCACGTGTGGTGGGCTCTCTTGCTCACTGATCAAGTCCCTTTCTTCAAGGTCACCCCAGCTACTTCTCATTACAAGGAAATGTTGGGTGTCTCAGGGGCCAAGGCAAGATGACCCTCGCATCTTATCCCATTAGGGCCAAGGATTCAAATCCTTAGAAACCCCCCCCCCTTCACCTTGACCTGAGAAGGCTCTTGGGGTGGGGGTGAGGAGCCCCAGTTTCTCATTAGGGGTCCAGAGGCCAGTGGGGTGGGGCATGGCTGGAAGAACTCTGGGTCTGTGTGCAGCTGGGCTAGACTTGAGGTCATCCCTCAGAGAGCTTTGGGTGGCACTGTCCGCAGAGCCGCGAGTTTGAAAGGGGGCTCCAAACAGGGCAGGCAAGTCACCACCACAAGACAACTGTCCCCTGGGTACAGTCGCAACTCTGAGCACATCTGGATGGAGACAGACTCCATGCCCAATTTGGACTTGCGCTGTCAAGGGCAGGAGACACGGCCTAGATGCAGGGTTTACGGAAGTCTAAGAGTGGCTGTGTGGGAAGAGAAGCTGGCTTTTGTGTGGTGTCTGGGAAGCACAGCTAGGAATTTCTACAGATCTTTCCCAGGGGTCCAAGTGCCCTAAGGGCTACACTTCTCATGAACTTTGCACTTACAGGACTGCACTTTTTTTTTTCTAGTAAATTCTGCGTTTTTTCTAATAAATTCTTTGGAATGTGTTGAGTCCTGGATTTTGGAATCACAGGTCTACTCGCATCCTCTCTCTCCCTGCAGAACGAGGAAAGCCAGGTCTCACACTCACTGGGTCACTTAGACCAGTGTGAGAGCTGGCACTAGCCAACCCTGGGTCCCACAGGCTGTTTCTTCCTGGTCCGCCCTTTGTGGGGAGCCCTAGGGAAAGTAACAGGGGAGCACGAGGTCACTCCCCTTCCTGGGAGCAGTGGAGGGGGAGGGGTATGGCTACCTGGAAGGACTTGATGAATGTCCACAGCAGGGTCCGGATGCCTTCCCCTCGGCTCAGCAGCTTCACCAGGCGCATGACCCGGAAGAGGCGGAAGAAGGTGATGGAGATGCGGGAATTCTCCTCTGCGCTCTAGAACCCGTTGGCAATAGGGGGGGTGCAGTTAACACAGCAAGAAGGCGGGGCAGGAAGGGATCCTCTGAGAAACAGCCATTGGTCGAGAGGAGGCAGGCCAGGGTGGGGTCAGCTGCACTAGACTCTTCCCTTAGGTTCTTTTCCAGGTTGGCAGCCTATCCCAAGGTGTCTGCTAAGACAGCCTGGGCTCATGGCCTTGTTTTCCTATCCTCCTCTTTCCCATAATTCCTAGTTCTTCAACTTTTACAAGCCGTGGAATCTGGGCCCAGAGCCACTGCCCTAGAGGCTCCTGCCCTTCTGTGACGGGAGAAAGCAGCCCAGCGGCTCCTAGTTTGTCAGTTGGGAGTTTTGCCGTGTACTACTGGACCACTGCTCTATCGGGAGGCGGCTGGATGTCAGATCTCTCTTCTCCCCTGTCACCACTTTCTACTTCCCGTGGTCCTGCCCTAAAAGCCTGCTGCGGAATGGTGGTAGCAGGTTGCTGTGTTATAATGGGGGGGTCACAGTCCCGTGCCTCTGAGTGTTTCGCTGTCCTTTCATGGTCCTTGACATATGGCCTCAGTGGCTGTGACCTTCCCTAGAGGTCCAGTCTGGAAGGACTGGCGATGCCAGCAGGACAAGGCAGGAGAGGCACTGAGTCCCCGAAAAGGCTGAGCCTGGTACATGGCCACTGTGGGGTGCCACCCAGTGTACCTGTTGCATGGTCTTAGACAGAGAGAAAGAGACAGAGGCAGCATTGAGGTTAGGGGCAGCTGAGGTGGGCACAGAATTTCTGAGCTGCTGGGAATCTATGGCCACAGGTTTACGACTGCCTTCTTAGCCTGGAGGAGCTTGAAGGTGCGGACACATGCCTAGCCAGGCCTCTGGGGCACGAGTGTCGTGTTTTGCCCCCATACCTGAGAACAAGAACTGATTATGCCCTTGGCTCTCCTGCTCATGTGACTGGCTGTACTCCAAAGCTCCAAGAGCTCCTGGGAGCCCTTCTGTCTTTCCCAAAGCTAGTGCAGCCTACCCAGCCCTGCTGGCAGCGGCACCCAGAGAGAAAGGACCCTAGAATTTCCTGTTATGGCTCCCATCCCAGGTACCCCTTGAAGGAGGGGTCTTACGTTGCTTGTTCTCCTGTCTCAGCCCTTTAACTTGCTGTACTTGACAGTGTTTCTAGCTCAGTCCCTTACTGACAGCACCACACCTATATGTACCCTGGACCGTTCCTTAGCGCTAAAGCCCCAGGGCTCTACAAACCCTTTAGTTCTTCCTCTATGGCCTTCTGGACCATCTCTCAGGTCAGGAAAGTTTATCTCAGGTCTGTCGGGAGGGGTGCATGTAATGGACTTTAGGAATATGCCAGGAATATGCAACAGGCTGGAGCGAGGAGATATTCAACCTCCATGTCAATGACCACCCACCAAGGGAGGCAGCAAAGTGGGGTAGATTTTCTAGACCAGCCCTACCCTCCATACTAGGAGGGCTCTGAAGAAAGCAAGGCAGAGGGTTCTGGTTTTTAGACCCTCTAGATAGAACAAGAACCAAAATATTTCTTATATTTTAAAATTGGAGGTACCCCAATTGCTATTAAGATGCTAGCCCGCCAGGCAGGCAATGGGCAGGCTCACAGGTACTGGGAACTCCTAAGCCTGCGATGTGGGCTGCTGGTCCTACCCAGAAGTCTTTGACTCCCTCTCCCTCTGCATCTGTTTGCCTCCTCCAAGTTCTGTTTTCTGTCCTCAGAAGGAAGTTTGCTCCTTAGAGAATCCTACCAGGAGCTCAGAGCCTTTTGCTACCTGTCAGTTCTACCATGTTCAAGAAAGGGGGGAAAACACCCACAACAAAACAAAACACAACGGAACAGAACCAACTTAAGGGACTTCAGTTGTGGGTGTCAACCATTTGTGAAGCTGGTGAGCTGGGACAACTGGGTCTGATGATTTAAAAAACAATACAAGAATTTCCTAGGTAGCCTTTTGGCCAGCGTGGGCTGCCATGGGGATCGCCACAACACTCCCCATGTATCTCTCATGGGTTTGGAGAATGATTAGCCTGGCTTGAAAGGTGTGACGGAGCTCTTAGGGGAAGCCATTTCAAGGAGCTTCAAAGTCATATCACTCAGACAAAAGAAATGTATACTTCTCTGTCAGAAGTGGCTCGGTTGGTTTGCTTTCCCGTTTCCCACATTACAGAAAAGTAGTTCTGGCACAAATGGAATGGACCCGAGGGACTTGGAAAAATGTAAGACTAAAGCTTAGGGTTACAGTAGAGAGACTGCCGGGCCAACCCTGTGCCACGGCAAATCCCAGCTTGTGCCTCTCACACAGCCTTCCACACGAAGCCCAGGAGAGGCTGGTGGTTCCAGCGCCGGTTAGAACTGCCTTTCCCTCTAGCTAGCCCTCAACCCAGCTTTTTATCTTCTCCCTGGAACCCTCATCACAGTTCTCAGACGCATACATCACAAATTCCTACGTGAGATGAAACAAAGTCCTTGGGATGTTTAACAGGAAATAGCAAGGGTCCAGTTCTCTCCCAGTGGATCACGGTGACTCACCACCCAAAGGAAGCTTGGAAGTAGAGGAACACCACTGTACACACACCCTTGCGCAGCTCGCGTGAGCACAGGCAGGTAAGGCACACAATGGACATGGTGGCCACATGCAATGGGAGCTGGGCTGGGCTCCCAGGGCTCTGGAAGTTGGGGTGGATAAGAAGTGGTGGCTAGGGGGGGGGGCACAGAAGCTGGGAGTGTGGTCTGGAGGGTTGTTCTTACCATAGAGGGAGAGCATTGAGTATGTTCAGCTGGCTTTAAAGAAAGGCAGACAGAGATAAGCTGTAATGAGTCTCCAACGAAGAGCCTGGTATTCTAGGTCTTGGCTAACAGAGGAACAACACAGTGGTAGGAGAGGGCATAGGAAACAAGTGAAAGAAATACACAAGCATGGGCCTGGCAGGGTGAGGGACACCAGTGAGAACATGGGCTGTGTGTCACTAGGCCATGTGGCCAACAAGGACCACAAGAGTCTCCTGTCCTCTTTAGTCACCACCTGTGGCTATGAGAGAAATAACTCAGCTCCCAGCACAGAGGAGGAGGTGAGGTCTCCCAGATTTGTGGGTGGAGATCAAGTTTATTTATTTATTTATTTATTTATTTTGTTTTCAGCTAGTCTGTTTAAAGTGAATCCGACTCAGGCTGGACATGGACTTGCTTAGAGCTCAGTTCAGATTAGCAATATGGGGGCCTTTTCCCATTGACATGGGAGTCGGTTGAACTTCTTTTTAATCCCGAAGGCCCAGTACATAATTTAGGATGTCACCAATAGTGCCCCAAGTTGTTGTTTTCTAGGGTTAGATTGCTGAATTTGTTTGGGGGGGGGCAGAAGCTCACAGAGAGCATCTAAGGCCCCTCCTCTTCCAGTTTCCCTAGTAATTTTCGCAGGGAGCTACCCCCACACTGGGCTCTAGCATACAACAGTCATACCTGGCTGATCTCAGCCACTGGGGCTGGAGCCTAGGCCTTCATTATCTACTTTCAGATGTTGCCCATGTTTGTTTTCAAGGTGCACAAACAAGGAAAGACATAATAGGATGTTTGAAGGAAAGAACTGTTCATAATCAGATACCTTCTTGAAGTATGAAAATAACTTCTTGGTAACATAGTTCTTACCAATTATTTTAAAAAAATTTTCCCATAGAGTTGGTTTTGATGGATTGGGAGGATGGTAGAGTGAGTTGGGGTAGGGTGGCATGGGGTGGAAGGACCTTCTCTAGTCATTTACGGAACATGTTCTATGTCTGCGAGGATTGCCAGCTGCCCGGCCAGTCTACATGTCTAGAGTGTCAGTAGAATTTGGCTACTGGGTTGGTAGGAGACACAGAAACAGATGGACAGACATACACACTCACACAGACAGGCCATTCCTTGTCCACGCACCCAAGCCTCTCTTCCACCAGCATGAGGCAGCTGCCATGATGGCCAACCCTATGTCTCTTAGTGTATCTTTTTGCCCTCCCCTGCCCCGGTGGGTTGGTCCAAGGCTTTTGCCCGTGGATTACTAGATAGAGTTCTGTGTCTGGCGATTTGGCAGTGGAAAGGGAGAGCCACATGGAGGTGACGTGCTCTGTAGACATGTCAGGGGGCTGTTCTGGGATACTGCTTCGCTCCGAGGGACACCCTCATGTCATTATAGCTACCTGTCACTTTCAAGGATCTTGGGTCAGCCTTTAAAGGACTTCTAGACCAATCTCAACCTACATAAGAACAAAATGGAGGCGATTTAGAAAATTCGCCAGCTCAAGCTGGCCCTACTAAAGCAGCCTCGAGCCATTGCAAAGAAATAAATTGGTTTATTTTACCACTTGAACACTGGGGATCCCTCATTGGAGGACTTTAAAGATTCATTTGCCATGGCCACCTCCCCTCCTGATGCTTTTCCTTGGCCTTTTGTTGATTAAAATATCACCTACTAAGGGGGCGGGGGGAACTGGGGTTGGTATGCAAAATGAAAAAATTTAAATAAAAAAGAAAAAAAGAGATCATTTACTTAGGTTATATTTTACTTCAAAATTTAGGCTTAGATCTGATTACTTCTCTGGTATTTTATTGTTTTAGTATCAGGCCTTAGCTTGATAGTCCTCAGGTCATGTCTTTTTTTTTTTTTAACTTCAGCTCTCATTATTTTTTAAAATGATTTATTTAACTTTGTGTTCATCGGTGTGAAGGTGACAGATCTCATGGAACTGCATTTTCAGACAGTTGTGAGCTGCCATGTGGGTGCTGGGAATTGAACCCGGGTCCTCTGGAAGAGCAGTCAGTGCTCTTAACCGCTGAGCCATCTCTCCAGCCCCTCACGTCATGTCTTATGGCAGAAGACAAGACTGCGGAACAGCTTGGGGATGAGGGCTAAGATCTGGGTCTTATGCTTCCCAGCCCAGGTAATGACAACTTTGTAAAAAAGGGTGAGAAACTATGGGATAACTTTTCTTGAGCCATACTACTCAGAAGGCTTTTGCTTGGCTGGAGTAGTGTCTCCTTAGCATTGCCCACACACTGTGCTTACATGGTCTCAGAAACAGCCATTCAAACAGCCAGGACACAATCACGGAGTGAGTTCTGCATGGGAAGAAGCCTAGGCAGGCCAGATGGTGATCCCTAAACCACCTCATGCCATAATCCGGGTCTTCAGGACCCTCCGAGCTGTAAGTGAAAACCCTCTGTTGTGCTACATAGGGGGCGTGGAACCACTGCCACAGGATGCCCACGCAAAGCAGTTTAAGCCTATGGTCACATCTGTCTTGTTTGCTACTGTGTGAGTTCCTCATATTTGTAGGAGTGGACATATAGTAGGCGGCGGTCTCCATGCCCAGGCTTTTCTCCATTGTAGCAAGGAACTGGAGGCAGGGAAGGAGCTGACAGGCTCCATTATCAGGGAGCCAGGAAGGAACCATTGATAACCGGAAGTTGTGCCTTGGGTCTATGGTGGAAAGATGCTGCGGGGGAAAGGCAGCAGCAAGGATGGCAGTGAGGGAGACCTGGAGCTATCACCATAACCCATCCTTCCCTGAGACTGACCCCAACTCCTGTGTCCTCTGCCTGTTCTCTCTCCTGGTCTCTTGTCCCCGTTGACCTGGCCAATGCATGTGATGTGCATTCCATCTCCACGCCTGCTCTCCCTAGAGTCTCTCTCCTGCTGCTGCCCCTGTGAGGTCCCCACACAGTGCTTTGTCCGAGCATTCCAGGAGTATCTAACATCCTTTGGCTGAGCATCAGCACAGGAAAACTGGTGAGCAGCTCTGTATAGGCCAGGTGCAGAAAGTACCAGAAGAGGGCCCACGAGTGACAGAAGCCACCGATGCCTACATTTAGCGTTGCTATGCTGATGCCTTCTCAATACATGGCCATAGCTCTGTGGGAGTGTAAGAGCTGATTGACAGGGATGGCTTGAATCATAGACTTGTCACCATTTAGCTGGAAGAATCTGGACCGATTGTTTGCCTTGCGTATGCCTAGATTTCACATGTGCAGGGGGTCCTACGGTCTCGATTCAATCATGAGTCACACAGTTGTCCTGATGACCGACATTGTCAAGGACAAGATCTCATGTTGCCCCTTTTCCCTTTTCCTCCTCATCAGCCAAGCTCACAGAAAATGACCTCAATCTTTAGTTTATTTTCCTGCTCTGGCCATTTCTGTCGTCCAGCACACTGCATCTAGTCACCCTTCCATATTTCTTCCCCTTAACTTGTCTAGAATCCCCCAAGGGCTGATGATCTTTCCCCAGGACCTCTCCTGAGTGCCTGCAGCTCTCCCTGGAGGGCTCGCTCTTGTCCCTGCCTCTGTTTAGTCCCACATGAGCCACACTGGGGTCCAGACAGAGCTGAGTACTTTGAGGGCCGGGGAGCCCAGGAAAGCAACAAGGAACTCACCATACTGGAATCACAGAGGCCAGGAGCTACAGGAGATTCTCAGGCCTCTCAGTCCAACTCCTACCACATTCAAATAAATGGAGGCCCAGGGACCTGGACTGATTGCTCTAAGGTACCTGGTTCCTGGAGCCTAGGCTAGAAATATAATCATGGCTTCTTAATAGATGATTTGAAAATGGTTTTCCACATCCATAATGTAAGAAATGAGGTCTTCTAGCACTTTCTATTGTTCAAAGTCCTTTCAGAGGCAGCACAAAAACAGTGCTCAGAAAGGCTGTTGGTCACATCCCCAAACTGATTCTCATCTGGGCTATCAGGGAACACTCTGGGGAGGATGCTATCAGAACTTCTATGGACGACCATGGAACACTTCTAGAAGGTGTGATTTCATATCCCGGGACTGGAGAAGCTCAAGGCTTCACCAGAGTTAGTGGAGTCACACCACCCTTTGACCCTACAGGGGTCATAAAGGCAGAACAGGGGAGATTTAGGCGGAGGCCTGGGTCGGAGACAGAGTTGGGGCTTGGAGCGGAGCTTGGAAACATCCTGCCACTGTCAGGAGGATGCCCTTCTGAATCTTCAGAGCTCAAAACTGAGGATAAAAAGGACTATGAATACAAAGTGGCCCTGAACACAAAGGTGCCCACCTGTTCATACCAGGTGCCTCTGCCTGCCCTCTTTGAACCTCCTTGCCCTTGACTGCTTTCTCGGTAGGAAGCAAACCGTGAACGTAGAGCCTTTTTTGACTCAGGTGTATCCTGGGTGACTGAAGAAGTGCCTACTCATAGACACAGACTATGAGCATACAGAGTTGAGTGGGTGCTGATCCCCGGAACTAATGAAAAGTACATTTCCTGAGAGGGAAGGACACGCACCCGGGGAAGATGGATTTAAATATGTAAAATACTCATAAGGACATTAGGGTGAACGAGAGATTCCGTGAGAGGACAACAGCCAGCCATGTCCCAAAGGAGCCTGACGTGATGGGCTTCAGGTGAAAAGCCATCATGGATAGCTTCTGGATAGAACAGGGGCATGGGAATCTATGCTTGTGATAACGGGATGTGTCTAGAGAAATAAGGGAAGGCCTGGCACAGGTGTTAGGGATGCAGGATTTCCTGAGTTTTCCTACAAGGTCATTAGAAAATCCTGACTCTGCAGCTGGTCACTGTCACCTAGCGGCAGAGGCAGGTGAGCAGGGTGCTCGTCACCTAGGAGCAGAGGTAGGTGAGTAGGGTGTTCTTATCATGCAGCTATCCTACTGACTGCTGTTTGGGTGCAGGGTTCTCTGGCAATGAGTGTGGCCGCAGGCCTGCCAAGGCTCTGGTCCTGTGGCTGTTGATGGCCTGCACTTTCTCTTATGGCTGTACCCGCTGGTCATCTCCATGAGTCTCATTAACAGCAGCTAGAAAAGGGGGCACTCCTGGTGTGTGCAGGCTGTAAGGTATGGGCATACCAAGGAGACAGTCTAGTTAGAGGCAGGGGTTTTGATGTGATTTGTTTGGATGCTTTAGCTTTTACTTCACAGATCTTTACAGTTGACACAGGGCTTTAGGATAGGTGCTGCTATGTGAGCAGACAGCCACACACATATTTTATATAGGGAACTACAAATTTGCATTGTCTTTGTTTTCATCGAGAACAGAAACAGCGATGTTATGGCAGGATGAGAGCCATGGCTTTTGCTAGCAGTCCAAGAACCCCAGAGGGACTCCCAGGGCTGCAATGGCTTTTCTGTCACCATGGGAAGCAGCCGGCTGTCCTTCCCTGTGTTTTCTTACTGCACATCTCTGCATTGATTTCTCTGCCAGCCTGCGCTACTGCCTACATACAGATGGCAGAGCCCATGCCTCAGTCTTTCTTTTTACTGCTCTCTCCGCGGGACCCTCAGGCAGCACAGTGCATGACATCTGTAATCAGCAAAGAGTCTGGCCTTGAGGTTCTGAGACTTGAATAACAACAGGAAAATAAGTTAGGGTTCTCGCAGACTTCATACCGGGAGTCTACTCAGGAAGGAAGTTAGCAGCAGTTGCAGAAGATTGATTTTGTTTTTAATTATCTGAGTTTTTACCTGAAGGAGTCAAGCCTAAGGGTTTACATGCATGCATATGTGCACACACACGCGCGCACACACACACATGTTCATGCGCGCACAGACACGCACACACATGCGCACACACACATACACACACACACACGCACTGAGACAAAGACAAACTCAAGTTCTCAGAGACAGAGGGGCAATTGATGCTTGGAGTTACAGAATAGGCGAGGGCATAGGCCAGGGGACAGAGGAAGGGATGTATGGAGAATGTAAAGTCCTCCTCCTAAGCACAGTGGCTACATAGAGGAGAATCTTACTAGTGAAAGAACATGTCAGGGCCATGTCTTGGGGATGGGCCAGTCTACATGGAGGTAGTGGAACATGTGGAGGAGAGCAAGAGAATTCCAAACATCTACGATCGAGTCCCAGAATCAGGTGCTCCGGGCTGTTGTTCAATGGTTCTATCCATCAAAGGTATAGACAAACATTATCAAGTCTCTTTCTTACGGAAAACTAATGGCAGAAACTAAACAATACATGTTAAGGACTAACAGCAAGAGGACTTGCTTATAGATAAAGAGGACACCCAAACATGCCAGGTAACAAGAAGACATGTGCGAGAACTGTATAGAAGGAGGCAGCTCTGGGGGGGAGAGGGCAGCAGGGCTGGGGTGTGGGGCCTGCCTGAGGCCCGCGGGCCAGGGGCAGGTTATGAAGGGCAAGGGGAAGGAGAGCAGGCAGGTGCACAGTCTATGAACTCTAGGATGAGTTCATATGGATATGAGGCTCTTACATGGATCCTGTTTCCATGGCAACAGAAGGACAAAACCTACCCAGAAGGCTCTCAGTAAATCACCAGCCACCAGGCTCTTTACTGTTTCCAGAGAAGGAAGGACAAGTAAAAACTAGCAATACTTCTCTCCCTCAGAGTGCCTGGTATGGGATGCTGATGCTTAGTCAAAGCAGACAAGAGTTTGTTCAACGTGAAGACAATCAAGTAGTTCTTGGGAGAGGATAGGCCATGGCTGACAATGCAGGCAAATTCCTAGCTTCCACTCCGGGTGTTCTGTTTTGCGGGCACACCTTTTGGGAAATTATGGGGATGGAAAACCAACAGGAGGAGAGGCAGGATCTGGAGGTGAAGTTTTGGGTTAGGAAAGGTTTGGGTTCCAGCTCCAGTGGTTGCCCAGAGCTCGTAAAGAACCCTTCATTTTCTCACTCCGTAATTTGTGTAGCTGCACCCTCCTATACAGTGTGAGTCATGCCAGGCTGATTATAAAGGGAGAGAGAAAAAGATGCAGCAACCAACACTTAAAAGGAAGTCTTAGTGCGTTCCAAAGATTAAAAAATAAAATAAAAAGAAATCTCCGAACAATGCAGTAAAAAATAATTTTTAAACCAATTAAAAAATGAAATAAAAAATAAGGAGGTGGGGCAGCACAGAAAATAAAAATGAAAGACAAAAATAAAGCAGGGAGAAATGAATGGATGTTAGAGCAGGCGGGGTCAGCTGGGTCACAGACACCATGTACTTACGTGTACCTCGGTGATTGCTATATCAACAATGCTACCCACAACAATCAAGGCATCAAATGTATTCCATGCATCACAGAAATAGTGCTGCATGGGGCAGAAAAGCCAGGAAAGAGAGAAGGGGACAAACCAACAAAAGAGGAGAAAACAAAATAAAGGGAGGGAAATGAAAAAAAAAAGAGGCATGAAAGAAAGGAGAGAAGAGAAAAAAAATGAGAAAAGAAAGAGGTTACGTGGGTATATTAAATACTCTTACCACTCTATAGTTCTGGCGGCTCAAACCTGGGCAACCTGGTTTTCGCAGGATCGAGAGGCCTGACAAAAGCTAGGTTAGTTCCGAGGTGGGTGGGCGACAGCCACCCGGAGGGCAGCCAGTGTTGGCCCAACCAGTGTGCAGCCTGTTCCCTCCGCTCAGATCTGCGCCCTTGGGCCCAGCGCAGCCAGGACAAGTGGGAAAAAAAGGAGAAGAGATTTCTGCTTTTTTTCCCCTACAAGACGACGGCAGGTTCAATAAAAAGCATGACTGGAGGTGGGTAAAATCAGAAATTAAAAAAACAGCAACATAAAAAGAGGTAACCAAAGAGTGAGGGAGAGAAGAGTGGAGGAAGTAGAAGAGGTGGAAGGACTAGGGTCCCTGGGGAGGGCAGAGCGATACTCACATTAGTCTCACTGAGAATGACATCAATTATGCTCCCAATCACGATGAGGAAGTCAAAAACATTCCAGGGATCACTAAAGTAACCCTACATGAGGGAGGGGCAGGCAGGATGGGGATTAAAAAGGAATATTAGACAGACAAGAACAGAGTAACATCACCATCAGAATCACTGTCCAGGCACCTGAGTGTTGCTGTTAGGGGTTCCGAACATCAGCATCTGGCCAGGAGCCTGGTTAGGATAGGAGCAGCAGAGAGGCGGTCAGTTCAGCCCTCATGTCCTGCCTTTCATGGGTCACATGGTTTGCATTCTCTCTGCCTCCTGCACAGAGGACCCTTCCACTCCCTCAGGGTGGAAGTGGCCTTGGGTATAGGGACAAAGGAGGTAAGGCACAGCCCTGCAGGGTGTGGCTGGATTCTACTGTTTATGTGTCAGCTCCTATAGTACAGAGTAGACAGTTAGTATATAGTGATTAGCAGATAGTCTATGTCATATAGCATATAGTAAAGGATCTATACCCTTAGTTCCCTCTCCTGGAAGGACCTACAAGAAGGGAGGGTAGTCAGTGGCTCATTTCCTAGAGTTGACAGGACTGGAATGCAAGCTCAGAGACAACCAAAGGACCAAATCACTCCAACAGTGTCCATGGTAAGTCGGACTCTGTGGAGATGGAAAGGGGCTTAGCCTCCTTCCTGCGCTGGATGCGCCCATCTGTCTCAGGGCAAGTTTGCCTTGGGAAAACTTTCCTCGTGGGATAGAAGTGTCTCCTGGTCTAGAAGTACCCGAGTACCCACAGGGGTGTCTCTCAGGTACCATCCCAGGCTCCTTGAAAATGCTACCGAAAGTGATGGCCGTTATTAAGGACTTCCTGAGCTGAGCTGGGGGCGGTGGGATTGGTTGGTGGGCAGGGATATTGCCTTCTTAGAAAGTAAGTAAGGTAGCAGAGCCTTATGGAGGGGAGTTAGGCTCAGAAGGGAAAGACCAGGCTCCCAACTTTACTACTGCTGCCTGTATACATGGCTTCACTGACTTTCCACTTACTCACAAGAGGGAAAAGTGGAAGACTTTTCGAAGGACACGGACAACTATGTGACCAGGTATCCAGAATGCCCAAAAGGCTGGGGACTCCTGGGTAAGGCAGCCACAAAACAAAGAGCAAGTGGCATTCTCAGATCTTGATTATTGCCTCTGTGGGAGGTGTGGCAGCTTAAAGGGCCATGTCCCAAGACTTTACAGAGCACAGAGCCAAACAGCCCAGGAAATAGCAAGACAGTCATGTGCCCATTGGTGGCATCAAGGAGACCTGTCCTCTTAAAAAATGACATTTGTTCCTTTTGTTTCTCAGGTAATGCTCTCCAAAGAGGACAGATTAGCGCTGCTGGTGTTTGCTCAGCGGGGCCACTGCTCCCTGCCTGGAGCTTTCTGGAGATGGATGTCTGGAGGTTGGCCAGAGGCTTTGGAAGCAGGAAGAGCTCTCAGGGAGGTTCTCAGTTCTTTGCTCTCAAAGGCTTCTAGCTCTCTTTGGCATTTTGTACTTCTAAGAGCTGAGCCTGCGTTCTTCCATCCTCCTCATCCTATCCAGATTCCGAAACTGCCTCTTTTCCCAGCCATCTCCTTCTAGAGCAAGCTACCAGACAGGCTGCCCTATGGCTATTATTCTTAGAAGAGGTCAGGCCCCAAGGAAAGGGGACTCGAAGTTCCCAGGCATTTCTGCCCAAAGAAAACCTGTGTTTCCCCAGGAGGCTTTGGGCAGTCAGACTGGGGCTGAGACTGTCCAGGTCACAGGTCACATGAGGGTCAGCCTGCGTCAGGGCTCTCTTGCTGGCTTCCTGGAGCAACACCCTGAATATCTCAGGCAGGGACTTCTCTCTTCCCGTTAGGTCACATGCTCTAAGTGGCAAAAAACCAGTGTACTCCTAGGTTCTTATACCCGCTCAGGGTAGAAAGGGGACACTAATCTGGGGGAGGGAGGGTAGAAGCGAATCTCTCAAATGAATCCTGTATATGTGTACGCTTTAAAAGTGGACCCTGGAAAAGGCTGGAGACATCTCTAAGTGTGAGCTGTTTGTTTGGGAATAGGGCAATTTCAGAAGAATAAGGAAGAGAAGGCAAAGAAGAGGAGGGAGAGAAACAGGGCCAAAAAACCCCCAAAAACAAAAAGTACAACAAAACAAAACCAACCGGAGGATGTTCAGCACCAGCCTAGAAAACAGGGCAAGCAAACGTTATTGGGGTATGGAACAGGAAGAGAGAGGAGGGTGGAAGTCACAGTTTTCCCGCGAGGCCGTGGAGCTGTGGAGTCTCTCCCTCCAAAGACCTGAAACAAACGGGTAATCTGGCTGTGTCTGCAATCTCTGAAGGAGGAACGGGGAGACAGAAGAAAGCAAAGAGTGGGCTACTGGGTGAAAAGCAGATACACACACAATTAACCTGCTAGTACGCACCAGGGGAAGGGGCTAAGACTTAAAGGGACTCTGCCAGCCTCCCGCCGTGCATCTCCGCTCACCGCTTCTCTTGGATTTATTTCTTATGTGCAGAGAGAAAGAAATGGCCCTCAGTCGCCGCTCTCCCCCAGCCATAGCTGCAGGTAACTGGACTGGCTAGGACTGTTGGGGTTAGTTACACCTCCTGGTTGCCTGAACCAGGCTGTGTGGCTGGGGCTTTTGCTTGGCTTCTCTGTTCCCTGGCAAAGTACCTTGTGGAAACTACTGGGTGCCGAAATCAACTAGTTATCTTGTTGCCAAAGGTTCCGGTGGACCCAGTCCTGGCGGACACATGCACAGCTGGAGAGAGCGGCGTCAGAGCGACTCCAGGAGGGTGGAGAGTCCCTTTAAGGGGCAGTTTTTCACCATGAGCTATAGACCCACCTTCCCATCCCTCTTAGCCCACCAGTCCTCCCAGCTGGTCGTTGAGGACGACTTCAGATCCAGCTTCCGGGTCCCCATTCCCTTGGCTGCTTTCTTCCTCTGCTATTTCAAGAACCATGACCTCCTACTTGCCCCACACCAGTTCCAGAAACAAAGCCCACGTCCGCCCATTTGGTAATAAATAGGTTGTCAAGGGAGACACCTGGCCAAGTCCTTCCATGAGGGGCCTGGTGTGTAAGGGTCAAGTGTTTTCTTTCATATGCACACGCATGTATGCACACGCACCTGCTTCCCCCTCTCATTTTCCCATGAATAACTGGGGCTTGGGGATGTAACAGAGAGGAAGGTGGGGAAAATCGCAGGCCTTTTCTTTAATAAAATCCATTTGACAAGGACCAGCTCTTATACTTGTCATCAATCTTTTTTCTGATGAGTGGGTTGGGACATCAGGGCTAGAAAGCTTTGTGCTGGCTCTCTTAGAAGTGGCAAACCAAACCTCTGAGTGCCCAGCTCCTCAGAGCCAGGGAAGATGGTGTGTATATATAAAAGATGGCGCTTGTACAACTGGAAGACTTCTTTTGCCACCTTCAATATCCTACATGCTGACTGGCCTCCCCTTTCAAATTACCACCCTCTTGGGATGAAGTCAGAACAGGGGCCTCCCCTCTGGCCCAGCTAGAGAAGGCTGGCATGGCCCCAATGCCAGAGTCTGATTATCTGTCATCCCTGCTTAACCTCCTCCCACTGGGCGAAGCTGCCGAGTAATGGGTAGCTAATTGGCCCCAGCAAATCATTTATAGAAAGGAAAAATTACTGCATGAGCTTCATGCAATGCATTTCACATGCACAGGATTCTGGATTTTCTTCTCTTTTGGCTTAGCTGTATCTCTATTCAGTGATGTCATGGGAGACCTACCATTCTGACAAAGACAGTAGGAGTAACGGTATGGTCTCTGGAGACTGCGCGTTTGAATCCTATTCTGCCACTTACTAACCAGATAGCTGTGTGTGTCACTTTCCTATTATGACAAAACACATGTGGGAACCAGTAAGGAAGGACGTTGATTCTGGCTCACAGTTTCAGTTCACAGCACTGTCTCCGCTGCTCTGGGTCTCTGGTGAGACAGCTCATGGTGGTAGAATAGGTCTGTTTATCCCATAGTGGTTGTGGAGGTTTGAAAGAAAATTATCCCCAAAGGGAGTGGCACTACTGGGAGGTATGCCTTTGTAAGAGTAGGTATGGCCTTGTTGAAGGAAGTGTATCACTGAGGGGATGGGCTGTGAGATCTCAAATATGCTCAAGCTTCACTCAGTGCGATACTCAGAGTACTTCCTGTTGCCCGCAAGATGTAGGACTCTCAGCTATTTCTCCAGCACCATGTCTGCCTGCATACCATGTACCACCATGGTGATAATGGACTGAACCTATGCACTGTAAGCCACCCCAATTAAATATTTTCCTTTGTATCCTTTCTAAGAGTTGTTGTGGTCATGGTGTCTCTTCACAGCAATAGAAACCCTAACTAAGACATTGGTCAAGCAAAGGAAAACAGAAAGGGTCTCTACACTTCAAAGAAACTCCTTCAAGGACCTACCTTCCACTAGGCACCTACTTCTAAATGTCCAACTGCATCTCAATAGAGTCAAGATCCAAACTAGCATTAAGAGTGAGCAAGTAACCTTCTGTGCCTGTTTTCCTATGTAGAAAACGGGACTGACCATAGTGGTGAGGTGAGGTTTAAAGATACCACACACACACAGCACTTAGACTTGTGTCTAATCTGGACGGAGCTCTAAATTCATATTAGCTGTGGTCATCATTAGCTAGAGTCAACCTGCCTGCCTCATTGTTTAGAAGCATCTACAAGTTCAACTTTCTTGTGGGACCGAGCAAAGGGAAAATCAAAAGCAAGCACACGGAAGCCAAGAATGTGGAAGAGGGAAGAAGCTGAAGGCTTGGGCTTGTCAAGGCCGTTTCTGCTCACTATCTGGTCTGGAGATGCTCCTGAGTACAGTCAGGTGGCACTGTTGACATTGTGGTAGTATGCAGGTTGTTATGGCTTAATTTTTTTTTTATCAGATTCAAGTTCATATAGATAGCCCACTGTTAAGTTCTTAAAAAGAAACTATTCAAACCAGAAGAGATGTGGTCTTCCTTGGGCTAGAAGGCTAGATGGGAAGGGCGCTGGACTGCCAGGTGGCCTCCATCTCCGACACAGA